GCATCATTGTAATAAGCATTGAGCCCTCTACCAAAATTGAGAAATTCATGTCCCCAGGGTCAGGGATTCTGGTGCTAGGGCGGGGCTATATAGATCATATAGTGAAAGTGCATTATTTCTTTGAAAATCATCTTTTCTGCCCCTGGGTATTTAATAAAGTAACTAAGTACATGTATATAGTTATGATGAGCAAGAGGGCTTCTTCCAAAATTGTGAATTTCATGGCCCCAGGGTCAGGGGTTCTGGTGTTAGGGCGGGGCTCTATTGATTATATAGTGAAAATGCATTAATTCTTTGAAAATTTTCTTCTCTGCTCCTGGGTATCAAATAAAGTAAAAAAGTACATAGTTATGATGAGAAAGAGTGCCTCTTCCAAAATTGTGAATTTCATGGCCCCAGGGTCAGGGGTTCTGGTGTTAGGGCGGGGCTCTATTGATTATGTAGTGAAAATGCATTAATTCTTTGAAAATCTTCTTCTCTGCCCCTGGGTTTTATTTAAACAAACTAAGTACATTGTTATGATACTCAAGATTGCCTCTTCCAAATTGTGAATTTCATGGCCCCAGGGTCAAGGGGTTCTGATGAAAAGGGGGGGGGCTCTATCGATTATATAGTGAAAAAGCAAAATTTCTTTGAAAATATTCTTTTCTGCTTCTGGTTAAAAAGGAAAGAAGCTAAGTGTATAGTTATGATGAGCATGATTGCTTCTTCCAGAGTAGTGAATTGCATGACCCCTGGGTCAGATGTGCTGGTGTAAGGGTGGGGCTCTTGATAATATAGTGAAAATGCATTAATTCTGTTAAATAATCCTGTCTGCTCCTTAGTGTTAATCAGATAAACAAAGTGATTACTTATATGTATGATGAGCAAACTTTTTTTTTTATTCACACAACATACATAACATTATATACATACATCAAACATCAAGTTTCAGAAGCAGAGGTGCGTTTTTATTTTATGAGAGAGAGAGAGAGAGAGAGAGAGAGAGAGAGAGAGAGAGAGAGAGAGAGAGAGTTAAGAGAATAGTAGGATCCACGTGCACCTGTTCCACTGGGTATCAAACTTTTCCTTTCCACCATTCTTATAAGAAATAAATTTTTGTGTTTCATAATGAAATTTCATTTGTGATATTGTAGTATGTACATTAATAGGTTTCTGGGTGCATCTTGCAGTATAAATATAATATTTAAGCCAAAGAAGAATAGCATTTTGAACATCAGTGTTTTCATTAATAAACCCTAAAATAAAAGATTTCTTAGTAACTCTAATCTTTAGACCAGTCTTATCTTCAAGTAAATGAACAAATTCTTCTAGAAAAATTTGTGTACTATTGCATTCCCACAAAAGGTGTTCTATTGTTTCCTCCTCAGTGTGGTAAAAACTGCAGAACTTACAGTCATTTTTCTTAATTTTGAATAAGAATGAATTTGTTGCAAAAAATTTTGTTTATAATCCTGTACTGGAACCATTGGAGTTTACAGTCTTTTGTTACTCTGAAGGGTATTATGTGGATTTTTTTCCATTCCTTAATTTCAATTTCTAGAAGCTCACTCCAATGTGTTTTACCTGCTGCAACAGAAGAATTTTGATTAAGGATTTCATAATAGCATTTAGATTTTTTACATTTCATTACTGTGTAGATATTTGACATAATTAATGGGTTAGTGAGCTTTTTTATTGTTTTTTCCTTACCAGAATTTTTCATCCAAGCCTCTATAGCATGAATAATACCATTGTATTCTAAAAAATTAATCTTTATATTTGGATAGGTGTTACAGAAACACTCATAAGTAAAGAGTGAACCATCCTCATTAATGATATCATTAAGTTGTCTAATGTTACTGTCAAACATTTGTTTATCATAAATGGTTTTTCACCGATATGTAAATGTGGATTGTAAAATAATGGTGAGTCATCAGCAACATCAAACTTTTTTCCAAGGTTTTGTAACATTATCCATGACTTAAAAACATCTGTCCAAAATTTATTCTTCAATGTTTTTAAGAAGGTTGTAGTGTATTCAATTCCACAACTTAAAAATTTGTTCAAATTGAATTTTGGAATGAGGTGTTCAATCCCCCTATTTGTAAAGATGAGATGCCTTATCCAAAATAATTTCATGGAAGCTATAAAAGACATCAGATTTAACATTTTCAAACCCCCATCTTCATATTTTTTTTTCTTTTTTTTTTTTTACAATTACTTCTTTTTTTACTCTATGAGTTGAATTATTCCATATAAACGAGAAGACGATACAGTTCAGAAGGATTTGGGATTGACATTAAAATATGATTTAATAAAGGTAAAACTAATGTTTTAATGACTGTAATTTTCCCTATGGGAGTTAAATACCTTTTCTCCCACTGTTTAAGTATTGATTTAATATGTAGTAATTTTGGTTCATAATTTAATTTTTGTACCTTATCCAATTCTACATCAAAATGTATTCCTAGAAGAGTAAATCTGGTAGTTCCCCAGTTAAGTTTGTAATTTGGCAATAAAATTTCATCACTAAACTTTTTAGAACCTATCCACACTATGTGAGTTTTGGCATAGTTAATATGTAATCCAGACATTTCTGAAAATTTCTTTGTTTCCAATGTTTGTGTGAGGGATTCTTTACTACCATCAAGAATGATTGATGTATCATCAGCTAACTGAGAAATCTTTTTTTTCAATATTGTTTACAGTAATACCTTTAATATTTTTGTTTAATCTAATTTGGATTGCTAAAATTTAAGCACATATAATAAATATATATGGTGACAAAGGATCGCCCTGTCTGCAACCCCTCTGAATGTAAATTCTATCAGAGCAAACTTCTGGTACCAGGGTGAGAGGCTCTGGTGTTTCCAGGTGAAGACGGGGGGGGGGGAGCTCTATTGATAATATAGTGATTCTGTAGTAAAAAAAAAAATGCATTATTTCTTTGAAAATCTTCTCTGCACCTGGGCATATCAGAGGCAAAAGGAGTAAAAGTTTTAATAAAGATTTTTGAACATCTGGACCATTTTGTCAAGTGTTCTGGTCCTGGCCAGGGCTCTATTAATGTGTTTTCTACTAAGAGGAGTTATTCCCCTTTGCCATTTACATTTGATAATTAGTCACTGTAAATAATGTACTTGAAAGGTTAATGGAATAAGAGAATTATGCAAGATTTTTTATCGTATAGTATAAAAAGTACTTTCATAGTTTTAATGATCAGGTAGACTTGTAAGTAATAGATAAATAAAAATGAGACAAAAATAACTTATTCAATGTTCATCAAAGACCAAAAGAGTCCAATGTAAGAGATTTTCAACAAGGAATTAAAATACCAGGTAGTACAGAAGCACTAATAGTTTGTTAATAACTGAATGGTGATAGTGATAAATGGGGAACAGATTAGAACCTAATTTATGAACTGTTCATGAACACTAGACTAATTATTTTGTTGATCCTGATCACCCTATTTTTCTTGCTTTTGGGCAACAAAGCTTCACCTTTCAGTTCATTTTATACTCTGTGGATCCTCTAAATTGTTGTATTATACTCAGGTGACCGTTAAGGCCCTTGGGCCTCTTGTGTAAAATGTAACATTGATAAATCAGAAAAGTCATGGATAAAACATTTAATTTTAATTTTATTGCAGCCCGGAGGACCGGGCTGCTCTATACATATAAGTTTAAGTGTTGGTATATGGGGATTGAGGTGGGAGAAGTTATTCAGAATTAAAGGTTTTCTAAACATTAAAAAGATTGTTAATCAGAATGTTCTTTCCCTTTATAAATTACGAGATACACAATATATTTACTTCCATAAAGTGAATCTGTAAAAATATATATGTTTTTCATATTTAATATTTAAAGTTGCTTGTCAATTACTATCGAAAAAACGACAGGTCCCTTTTTTTAGAACATCGAATTTTACTTATCGCATAAAAACGTAAAAACGTACTTTACACAGTTCGTGTTTTATAATCTTAAAGTGAAAGACATTTTTGAAAATAGGTGATGCATGTGTCTGGTTTCAAATTATATTTTATGTACCCAACATTTACTTGAGGAATTGATAAAGTTTAAAAGGGTATCGTTTTTGTTCGATTTCATCCGACTATAAGTTTTCAAAATATTCTCTACTATCGTCTCCATCATTTAGATGCATGCCTTTTTCACACATATCGAAGCGGTTTGATGATCAAGACTCATTCCCATTGTTTACTTTATTTATTTCCCGGGCGACAATTGATGGTTACATCAATGTTTTCTTGTTATCCATTGTATAGACGTCGATGAGTCTTAAGCTAAAAGAAGCAATCCAGTATAACGTCATCATGTGACGTCTATAAATAGAAAAATATGCCTTTAAGAAAGTGAAAAGTTCAACACTATCCCTGGCTAATCCATTCTGTTTGTGAAAATAATTATGTAAAAATATCTCTGGTACATGAAAAGTGCTGCTAAAATTCTAGTCTCCTGTCACAAAAATAATTTTTCCACATTATCGCATAAAACTTTACCAAAATTTAAAAAAAAACGATGAAAATAAATCAGAATACCTGATTATTAAACTTTAATTCCTTATGAAGCACACATGATATTCACTGTATATGTTTTTTAAATCACATTTTCTATATTTGCTTACATGAATTCTCGTTCCGTTTCAATTATTTGATCAACAGCTATGACGTCATGGGTTAGGTATTTAACCCCTGTAACAAATACCTCGTTATTTATACCATCCAAAAATTACAAAATTTAGTTATTACATGTATTTTGTTTTAAGAAATCATTTGTTTTAAGAAATCATTAACTCTGAGTTCACATCACATAGCTTACTATATATTAATATTGTACATGAAAGTCAAAATATCTGGGTGTGTAGTCTCAACATACCCGCAGAATTATTGGCACAATCCAGCATATTATAGTTTGTTTGTTTTTTTTTACAATTATTATACAGATTTTTGATATGTGTAAAGAAAAGAATTTGTAAAGTTCCAACACTGTAAAAGTCAAGATCTAGTAACTGTTTTCCTTTCCTACTTTAGGCACGTTTAAATGAGCCCTGGAGTCACCAATTGGGAGGTTTCGCATGCGAACGTCTCTCAAGGATTTCTTCAAGTTTAGTTTTTTATGGTAGTCCCATCGAATGTGGCTATCCAGTGTGGATTGGAGATCTTCTGTACTCGGATATGGCCAAACCTTAAATATTGGTTTGCAATGTATTTAATCTCGCAGCTTTAAGTTTAACAAAATATCTATTTCTAAATTGTATATAAATTAAGTGCTTGAGGTATAAATCCGTTTTTACTTATTTTTGTTTTTGAATTTTTTATCATTTTGCCTTTTCAGTCGTAAAAAACACCATGGCATAATAGTTAAAAGATAGTTTAATAAATTATAACATACGTGATCCCTCAGCCTAACAAGTTGGTTGTTGGTAAGATTCTCGGTGTAGAATTTCTTGTTAATCATGATCACTTCGACTCCATTACTGACTAGACTAAAACTGGGCTGATTCTCAAAACAAATATCCTGTAAGCCCTAAAAATGTAAAAAAAAAAAAAAAAAAAAAAAAAAAAAAAAAAACTTTGACTTTAGACACGTTAAATATGGTCTTTTTTCCTAAGTATACAGAGTTGATCTTATTGAATCGTTGTATTTAACTTTCAAGAACTTGAATTCCATGGCTTACATTCAGATAAATCGATGACATTTTAGACATTCAGATATATCGATAACATTTCATAAATTAACAATATTTATTTTCATATCATCTGATATATCCCATTGAACTTAAAATAAAAGACACCACGGGGTCTGGCACGTTTGATTCATATTTTGCTATTTTACTAGAAAAAAAGACATTGACGGGAAACTAACAACTATAGAACTTAATCATAAAAACTTGATTTCAATTTTTCTATCGTCAACTTCCCTTATTTATGTTTATTTATGTAGCATAGTATTTATTCAGCAATATAAGTTAGTACCATTATCACCACATCGGGCTTATGTATCCAGGTTGATTCAATACACAGTATGTTCTTGGTAAGAACAATTTCTAAATGAGGCAGACTGCTGACAAATACGTTGGTAATACATGGTATATCTACAATCTTGTTTTAAGTCAACATTTTGCAAATTCTGTGGTCGATACAATGACCTTGTTTGCAAATATAATCTGTCGTTAGGTCGAATGTTGGTTGACGTCTAACAATACAAATCGTTAGGCATTTTTCATGCAGAATTGACTGCAAATTTCAGACGATCATTACAAAAGGTATCCGGCGGGTGTGAAAGGTTGATAAGGGATACTTACTCCTCCATGTCCGGGTTTGCTCTGCTTACAATCTGTAGTGTTTCTTAGAACTTTTGAAAATGATTACTGCTCGTTTTCTTCTCATAGGATTCTACTGAATAACTGTCTTGTTTCATATGTATACAGAGTTACATTTACGTTTCAAGGAGAAATCTCAAAAGCTTGTTGTTTTTTTTTTTTAAAAAATACTGTAAAAAATTATACAGCATATGAATACTGTATTAAGAACTATCAACTTTGAGATATAACATCAAATTCACTGTAATTGTCAACAGCTAGCCAAGATATATGAATAATTTTCTTCAAAATAACAACTTACAAAAATCTGTCCTTTTGTGAGGGTGTGGCAGTTAACAAAAACATAATCCCCTCCATCATTTTCAAAGGTGGAAGGTTCATCCTGTAAAACAAATAAAATCTCTCTTTTGTAGTCAATTTAATTATATTAATAAAGAGTTTCATAGTGGATAAACTCTCACTTACGGCTTTTGTAGAAGGCGGGTGATTAGACATCCTTTCTTGAGTGACGTCACCTCCGGTTAGCGTATAGTCATTGATAGTCTCGTCCTCTACCGTTACCGTCAGTTCGGTCGTTGTGCGGACTACAATTTATAATTAAGAATTGTTTAAGTAGAGGATTATTCTATTGATGACCAAGTTAGTTGAAATAGGTAAACATTGAAATCTAGTTATTACCAGTAGTTGCAGACTTAGACGTGTCTGTTTTCTTTGGTTTTGTCATAAATGGACCCTACAATTTCAAATAAAAACATAAAGCATTACCCCGAATGAAAAAAAAATATCCAATCAAATATTAATTTAAAAAAAAACACTATTCATAGTAATAGAGAATGAAAGTTTTAACAGTTTTATCTTTCGAAAATTTATAGATTTTTTAAAACATTTTTTTCTGACAATGGATTTTAAAACCAAGTTAGAAAACTTCAAAGAGAAAAATATGCCTAGATTTAAGAAAACGACGGTGTCTTATTATAGGAATTCTTTTCTTTTTTTTACTTTTGAGACGAGGTTGGTAAGATCCACTAGCGACATTCGTCGGTATTTCCTCGCTTCTTGGTTTATCTTTTCCTCTTCATCAAGTTCCAGGTCTGTTTCTGTTATTATGGAGCCTTCATTTGCCGCCCGCTGTTTCAAATCCTCAATAGTTCTTTTGATGAAATTATTCTCTATCATCTATATTTGTAAGAGAAAGGATAAGAATTTCGGGGAAAAAGAACATCATATACTGCACTCTGTATGAGAGGATTACATGATAATTTGACAAAGATATTGAAGCATTCATGTGTTTAAAGAGAATATGGCTTAAATACATCAAAATATTATTTGAAAAGGAAAAAGAAAACAATGCACTGCAAAGCTAAATCTTATACAGATGTAAAATTATGATGTTTTATTTTCTTAATATTATAGTATCATTGCAGGAGGAAGAAAACAAGTGGATGGGAGGGAAGGTCATGCGCGCTATTGAGCATGCCCATTCAGACTGAAAATAATACTGACTAATTTTATGATGTAAGTGTTATGTTAACTGGGTTTTTCATGGCCTTCAGGCTCTTTAAGAAGATTATTAGCTCAAATATAAGGAAAACATTTTCACAAGAAGACACAAACTATAGGACACTTCTGTCAGGAAGGAAATACTCTGTAAAGTCGGTTATAATTTTTTTTAAAATAGTACTCACCGTTTGCTTTTCCTATGATAAATATTTGAAGCTTGTATAAGATTTTGAAAGTCTATAAAATGATGTTATTTCATTATTAACAGTAATACTTGTTTTATGTAATGGATAAGATTAAAAAAAATTATATTTCATCAGATTTCTAAGACGAAAAACCTTGCTTTCTTAGTGTAGTACCTCTTAGATTTATGAAAAACACCTTAATTGCTTTTTTTTTTAAATCAATTAAAAAGAATTTTTATTATTGATTAGTACAGTGAATTCTATCAACAACATGATAATTAAACAGAATGAAATACTTGAATAAATGGAAGTGTATGAGGATTTTGGATTGCTTATACATGTGTACATACATGTATCTCTTCTTAAATTTTCTCCCTGGAGTAAATTTTTATTTTATAACAAGACTTTGAGACTATGAAAAATAATCAAAATATTCTCAATTTCTCTATTCTGTTAGAGACAAAAATGTTAAATTGGTTAGAGGGACACAGTAGAGTTAAATATGTTCATTGGAATGTTAACTTGAAATTCTATACCCCTTTTGCAATGTCTCTACGCGATGTCGGAATATTGTGACGTCACACAGACATGTTAGGGTTACATTTATCTATACTAAATCAGAGACAATGATTCGTATAAATTATAATTTTTCAAACCTCATCATGTAGATGACGTAGATCGTTATAAGCCTCATTCGTTGCTATGTTGATTTCAGGAAGAGCATAATATCTTAATGTAACGTTCTGCTGTTCCAGCTTTTTCACTTCCTCATCGAAAAGTAACGTGACCTGATCTTCATGGGACAAGGTTGCACCAATTTTTAAACACTCTTCCACTGAAAAATGTCAGCAATTTAAGAGTGGATTAATGAAAATTATTATAAAAATCATAATTGCTTTCTGGTTTTTGTTTACCACCCGCATACATAATTTATATGATCTAGAATATAAAGATTGCCAAAATGCATAATTGTGTACACCTTTGGTCTTTTTTTCCTCGATAGTCAGAAAAGAACTTATAGATCAATTTCTAGAAGCGATGGGGATTAAAAGAAGTTATTCTGTGATTATGCAATTAAGCTCATCAAGAAAATGGCAATCAAACATCTTTGAAATTTCTTACAACTGATTTCAGTGCACCATACCTTTCTCTCGCCATTCTTTTTTCCTGCTTTTCCGTGGTGTCTTTGTGGGATCAATTAGCTGAAGTCTCTTCAACAAACTGCAACTACCCTATAAAGGAACATAAAATATTCTAAAACATGAATAAGATTTTATTTTTGTGGTCAAATATACCAATTTAATACTGGGATATATCGGTGAACAGAGAAGAAATTAAAAAGAGCTTACCGATTTGACAACAAATATCCAGTCGCTCTGTGATGTATCTTTGATGAGAACTTTTCCTCGTCTGAAAATTAGCCCCACTTTACTTATAGATATAGTGTAAATATCACAGTGTCATGTATTACCATAATATAAATTAAGATTTACTTTGGTACTAAAAACAAAATCAGTTATACATACAGAATTTTGTTTAAGGTCTCTATTCTAAGTTTCTTTAATTAAGGACTCTTGTATAAGTTTATAAACCTCCAAGATTCAATTTCTATGTATATGGGAACTTATTTTTGAAGTGTAACGTGAAAAGGAAAGAGACTTGGGGAAGCATTTGGTTACAATTTTTTCCCCTGAAAGAAATACACTGCACATGTACGTACTTGAAAAAGCTGAAAATTGCTTTCTTTGGGTTATCTGCTAGTTTCTCTACAGGCCATTCCTCTAGAAATTTCAGAGACCTGTATGAAATAAAGAATAACACTTTTATGAACTACTAACATTTCTAAAAATAAAAATGAATGTCTTAAGATGGTTTTCCCTGTTTTATCAAGACTTACAAGTAAATAATATATAGGAAGCTTACTTTATAAAAGGATCGTTGACATTCCTTAGGCCTCCAGACATAAAGATATCTATGAAATCCTAGAATTCAAGAGTGAAGTAAAAAATCAAAATGGCAAGGTGTACAATCCTTTGAAATAAATATGAAATAGAGATTGTTTACGCAAATAATCAAATATTGACTTCAGGAACGTTTTCAATTTTTATTTATGCGAATTAACCATAACTTCTATGTTTTCCTGTTTTAAGAAAATTTTTCGATTCAATGTCATATTATAAATTTTGAATTTACTAGGTAATAGTTAACAAAAAAAATAATTAAAATTTGCGTTTACTATCACCTTGTAGATGACAAAAAAAAAATTTACAATATGACAAAAGTACTTATTAAAGTTAATAAATATCCCAACAGAGCATGCTTACTTCGTCAGACATGACTAGAAGTTCGATTTTTTCGCGGGAAATGACTGTCGTCTGCCGCAATGTTCGTGTCATAATCGCTTGCTCACCAAAGCTGTCACCCCGATGAAGGAAAAGGACAGTTTTATTTGCGTTGGACTGGACATCCAAAAAGGACACTACGGCTACCAAAAGTAATTATTCGTTCAAGTACAAGAATAATCCGATTTTATAAAATAAATATTTTCGCAATGGTTGTTTCCTATTAAAAAACATACAATTAACAATTTAACATTAATAATTTCTCAGTTTTGTATTACATTCATGCACGTCAGGAATACCTATTTATTTACCTGATCCAGTAAGGACGAAGTAGAAACAGATTGGTAAGTGACCCTCTCTAACTATAACTCGTTTTGCATCATATCTGAAATTAATTTCAAAGGTTAACAAAATAGTAACATCCCCTTCCAAAAACCAATCATCAATCTTATGTCTAATTTCAATCAACAGCAAACTGTTGGAGAATTTCAAACCTCATTACATGTATATTCTTCCTTTCAAAGATACATACGTTTCATACCAGCCCCTGGAGGCTATTTTCTTCTGCATGTCAACAGGGTATTCAGCGATCGACTTGTAGTTTCGTAAGGCAATTTGAACCTTAAAGTAATAACGATCATTTTAAAGCAAATTGTAATCCCCTATATGAATTTATATTTTCTGAATATTTTCTGGTAAAAATAATCTCATAAATGAATTAAATTGTGGGTTTTTGACATTACTGTTTATCAATTAAAAAAAATCAAGAATTACTTTGTACGTACGTTTCTTGCTTTCATTTTTATATGAATCGTACTGGTATTATATGTACATGTAAAACATGAAAATGCATTTTGCAATCAAATAGTTGATCTGGAAATTTGCCCGATGTTAAGTGTTATATAAGTTAATTTATAAAATTGAAAAGCTTGGGGTATGCTGAGAAATTAACTGCAGGAATTATGGTAGTAGGAGTTACATTACGCATACGCGGAAAACAGACTGTATAAAGAATTCCTTGTGTCTTAAAAGTGTCAAAAGGTAAATTCTACCAAGATGAAACTTCAAACCAAATGTCAAAATGCTTATACACGTGTTATTAAAAGGCCAAAATTGGTTTATTTGTATGCACAACATGTGTAAAGAACATAGTGACATTTTTCAATCATAAAATAGCTAAGTAAAGAATAAGTCACACAGAAGTGTTTCATTTACGTTGACAAATCTAAGATTATGATCATAATAAACTTACATAATGTATTTCCTCTGCTGTCCGCGTTTTCGGCTTCTTTTCCAGGATTCGCCGTACCTCTGAAGATATCATGCCCTTAACAAACAGATAAGGACATATTGTTCAGTTGTAAGTTGCTTAACTATAATGCATTATTTATGCACGGGAAAGTGTAGGTAATTATGCTAATCTGAGTAAAATTTACAGCTAAATGTTTGAACAAATTTTATACGCATTTTAAACCGAAGTATCCTTGAAAGTCGATTTGTGACTTCCTACTTATAATAATATCAGGTAGATTAAGTTTAATGAGTTTAAATTGATTTAATCTCAAAGTTCATCTTTAGTACAATTATATTCAATTCCCGGTTTACTCGATACTGAATAAGACAAAGCTTTAGGGAAGATGGCATAGATTTCACAATGGACACTTGAATCGCAGATGATAACTGTAACTCTTACCTCTTTTCCTGCCTTGAAATCTGTGACATTGAACATTAAGTCCTTGGTCTCGTACGAGTTTGTCAAAGCGTCCAGGGATTCAAACAATCCCAGAATAGAGTTTACCCTGAAAATCAGTCAAAAAGTAGTCGTCATATATTTACAAAATCAACCCTTCTATTTTTTATTTTAAACTTTGAATATTGGCTCTGCTAAGAGGGATAACTCTGAAACTGTTTCCTTTATCAAATCTTCTGCATACCGGTATTTTGTTTTTTACTGTAAATGTATTACAATATTTTTTGAACTTTATTTTTTATCTCTGTCGCCTGTTTGAAATTCTTCATTAATTCAGAAATATTCAAATTTAGTCAGCAGATAGTTGTAATCTTTTAAAGTTAATGGAAGTTTCTTTTCAACGAAAAAAAAAAAATCAAAAACTGAGCCATCAAACCGTATGAGACAAGAAATTCGATCAATCATTCAAACGAGAGAGAGAGAGAGAGAGAGAGAGAGAGAGAGAGAGAGAGAGATTTACGAAATTAAGATTTTTTTAACTTTGAATTTGTCTTGGATGAATTCAAATTGGAAAAATGAATTTCGTAGAGAAAACTACATTATTTATTACACTTCTGTGCAAGAATAAATGGTAATTTAGTCATTATAAAATTGCAAGCAATTGATTTTTTTTTTGTTTTGTTCACAGCTTACGTACTTGACCGGAGTGCATATGTACATACACTCCGGTAACCCAGTAATACACTAATACACATTAAAATCCGTTCTGAATCTTGCTGGGGGTTTTATTTTTAGATCGAATAATCCTTTAAGCCCTCTTTCTGGAATTAGTTTTCAGTTATATGGTATTGTCTGGCGAGTCAAAATTATTCCAGACTTACAATACATGTACAGTATAGTATCATTTAAATAATTATGAAGGAATTTAGCAAAAGCAAATAAATAAATAAAAATCAAAAAATCAATAACTAACGAAAAGAATTTTGTAAAAGAAAAATGGATAGATATATAAAATAAATGAATAAAAAAAAAATCAACAAGTAATTTTCAAGCTTTTGTAACTTCTAAGCTCTTTTTGTAAATATGTATATATGAATTTCTTCATAATCAGCAGGAAACTATTTACTAATAGCCATAGGGATACTCACGACTGGGAGTGGATCTTCCAGGCGCGGAGTAAAATGACTATGAATTTTGATAGGCGTTTCCACTTCATGTATGGCCGGACCTGAAATTCAAATAATCTTCAATAGCACTTAATTCTATGAATGCCTCAGCCATATTATCTGCTTTATGTATTTTTTTTTTTCAAATTCAAGGACTGTTATAGACCGAAATACTTTTTCTTTTAAAAGTATTATTTATCATTAGTTTTAAGATGTAAATGAAATTCTTGTGTTTTGGATTTTGCGGAGATATATGCACAGGGAAATTTTATCTAATCTAAGAGTGATGTACCATTATTCTAACTTTGTGACTAATTTAAAAAAATTAAATACACAGCATGTGAATGTCACAGAATTTCTCACAACGGTCATTTAATTATGATGAACTCTGACGCTCTATATAGTATAGGTAGTCACTGAGAGTGAAAACTTTAAGTGTTAAACACTTGTTAACGACCTTAAATTAGATTTGTACTAATCCGGCTATCGATACCCTTGTCATGTCAAGATTAAAAAAAATTATTTCATAAAAGATTTAATGATGCGTGGTTCGATGCGCGTGCCTTATATATGGAACAAAATGAAAAAAAATTTTAAGGAAACAATTAAAATTATGAAGAATAAATAATTTCATCTCAGAGACCATATAATCTTTACGGCAAAAAACTTTTTTCTCCTTGAAAATTAACGTCTAGTGATTCCAACGGAAAATGTTTTTCAGTCAAAGAAATTTATTCCATTTGCAGGCCCCTATATTTGTTTTCATCGACATATAAAATAGCCTATTGGTAGAAATATTTTCATTTTGACATGCTCGAGAAAAATGTTGTTGACTTACGAATCATTTAACATGTTATCAAGTCATAATTTGTTTCGGCAAACAAATCAAGTCTCGCACAAATTCCCTTGCCCTAATCTCACAACCTAGAGAAATTTACTTTCGGAAAAATATATATTAATCTTAAGAACTCGATATATCAAACTTAACCACATCTTTAACGCGTTTGACAGACATGAAAATTGAAAGGTATTTCTTCTCTTTCATCTTAAGAGCTTGTTTTACTATGAAGTATTAAACATTATTGCATACAAAATGGCGATAAGTGGCACGCTCGCACTATCCAAACTGACGAAAACATAAACGTTTACAAAACAGCCCTAGATATTAATCTTTCTCTCCTACTTCACAAGTTTGATCAAAAGTGGAATGAACAATTTCAAGTTCATTTTAACTATTTTCTGTCTGTCTCTTCCGAGTTTCCATTTTATGTTTAATTCCTTTATTTCCTTTTTAAAGATTTATGTTGAATTAGGCATATTTTTATATACGTTTTTTAAAGAGATTTTGTCAAAGCATAGATATTCTTATAAAGTTTTCCTTATATTATTTTTTTTAAAATTCCGTCATCTTAATGCAAATGATTCTGAATGAACTTTTAAATTAGTAATTTTTGAATTATTATTGCTCTGCATTTTATCATTTTTGCTTTGTTATAAATTTCAAACACTTTCAAATATTCTTTATAATTTTAATTATTATACGATACATTTACAATTTTGACATTCTTTGTACAGTGTAATTTCAATTTTACAATTTTGGCGTAAGCAATATTTATTTAAAAAAAGAGCATGTTTATATAAACAAACAAACTGGGACAGGTTTGATAAATTTATAGTAATCCGTTTCATTTGAATAAATAAAAATAACTCCCTTGCTTGACAGATTGTATGTTCATGTCAAGTGATATAATTTAAAAAAAAAAAAAAACTGATTGTAGGAGACTGGAAAAAAAATATTAATATCTATAAAGGATATGTGGACATATTTGAAATCTTATACATGTAGAAGGACTTATAAAAGCTGGTTAGAACCATTAGAAATATGAATACATTTTCTGAATATAATAAATTTGAATCGCATTTTCGTTTGATATCAGTATTCAAATCATATATGAAAGAACAATGTTAAAAACAAATTCCGATTTCACAGCTTACTTATCTTATCCCAATGGTATGAGAAAATATTTGAATTTTAATCATTTCTGAGTGTTTTGATTCTTACTAATACCTGTATATATACAAAGGAAATACGACGTCCTACCTTTCTCCTTCGGATTTTCCTTCTGAAAGATCCAAGAACATCATTGCCTAGATCATTCTTCATAAAGTTTAATCCCGTGTTCCCAAACACCACGGAATTTTTAGGATCCACCACTTTCTTTGTTATTGCGTTTAACATATTGTCTACTCTGTCCCTACTTTCATCATCTGTCCCCGTGGAAGCGTCTTCCGGCGATGAACGGACAGTAGCTTCTCTTGATCGAGATCTAGACCGGTGTCTAAACCTAGGCTTTTTGTTTACAGTTTGTAAGAGTCTTGTTGACAAACTTTGACGTTTGGCATACTCCATACTTTGTAAAATCTCTCGCTCGTCCGAAGATTGTATTCTTTTCCTCGGTAGCGTGACTCCCATTGATTCTAAGGATTGCAACATCCGAATTTTCTTCAACTCATATCCAGAAACAACGACGTCCTCAGAGGAGCCCTCTGAGATGCTTCGTCGAGTTGACAAATTCCCGCGCATGAAATCATTGTCTCCAACACTACTAAATCGTCTCCGCTGTGTCCCCCTATCTGTTAAGTAAGCATCTTCATCTTTTTTCTCTTCAGTGTTCATCCACTCGTCCATCACACTTGGTGGCCTATGCGTCTTCAATGCAGGAAGAGATTCCATGTTTTTGAGTTCATCCCTGAGGACGTTCATCATGGAATCGCGCCTGCTCAGACGCTTCTTCAATTTTTTCTTCTTTGGAGATTTTTCATCACCCGGCCTGTCTGTTTCTGGCAGACGATGAGTACTTACTGCTCCTTCCGTCAGTGATTCCAAACGGTTAAACTTCACCGGCGTAAGGGATAACTTAGGTACTAATGCCGACATTGTTTGTTTTTTTTTTTCAAGTTACATATTAAATTCAACCATTCTTATGAAAAATTAACTTAACCTTTCTTTTCATTCCTCTTTTCCAATTTTAAAGTGAAATAAACAAGATCAACAGTTAAATACGTTTTTGGATCAATAAATACCCCCATTTATTTGAATATGCTATAATCTGGATAAGTCGCCGAAGATTTTCAAACAATCGGCAGCGAACAAAAGTGAATTAATTTAATACCTTTACTTCGCGTCATAAAACATTATGTGAAACAAAAAATAAATACCAGGTCAAGATAAGGACGCAACGTTTCAAGTTCACATAAATACCTATTTCAGGTGATGAAATTAATAAGACCGTACTAACTGACACACTGTAGCAAAGTTGACGAAAAATTGCTGGTTTGATCTGAGTTACTACGACTTTTAAAAGTGGTTTTGTTTTGCTTAATGACAACAGGAGATTATTCCACACGTTGCAGGGGATCTTAAACCAACCTTAGATATAAAGAAATTAATTTGTTAAATAAATGTATGTCAGAGAAAAAGAATTCTATTGTGTTTGGGAGGTGACAATTTAAGGTCAATCCCATTTTTTAACTGTTCTTTTCATAGATTGATTAATACAATGTAATATAAACTGAGATTTTGTCTCATTTTCATTCGATTGAGGCCTTTTCTTCACCATTTTAGTTGCCATACTACGTGCAAGATTCAAAATCAAAAGAGGGCTCAAAAAGGCTTCACTTGCCACTCGGTCCCCTATATTGTATATTTATATACTAAAAAATATTATAGTTCAAGTAAGTAAATAAAAACGATAAGCGATTTCTAAATAATTTGCATAAAACATGCTCAGGTTTCTTAATTGTAAAAAAACAAAACAAAAAACAAACAAACAAACAAAAATTCGAGGGGGGGGGGGGAGAGATATAAGGTCGGATCCATCTCTTTCTGCTTACAAGGAACTGAGAAAAAAATAGCATTTGTTAACCAAATAAAAACTGGTTTTAGAAAAAAAAAATAATGGCGATCTTCATAAAACAATACCAGGACAATTTCGATACATGTACTTGACCCTCAATCCAGGTAAATTTGATAAATCACCAATTACGTAGTAATAAAACAATACACACAAGATAAACTTGTGTCAATATCAACTTGGTGCTACAATAACTGGACCCTACACGTAAATACTGCCGAGATATGCCATCTTTCTCTCTCCATCCCTCTCCTTCCTTGACTGCTTATCTCTCCCCCTTTTCTTTCCCCCTCTCCCTCCTATCTCCCCCTCTACCCATTTCTCTCACTCTTTCTCCTCTTCACTCTCTCTCCTTCACCCCTCTCTCTCTCCCCAACTCTCTTCCTCCTCTACCCCTCTCTGTCCAACTCCCCCTCCACACTCCTCTGTCTCTAACCCCTCCCCCTCTCTCTCTCCCTCACTCTCTCTCACCCTACCTCTCCTCTCTTCCCCACCCTCTTTCTCTCTCTCTCCCTCAACTCTTCTCTCTCTTACTCTCCCCCTTCCCTCTCTCACTTTTCTTCTTTCTCTGACTTCCTCCATCTCTTTCACTCCCTCTCTCATTCACTCACCCCCTCTTTTCATGCCTATGTGTGGGTGATGTATGTTATATGCATTACTTTTGTTCACACAAAATAATTATTATGCGTCTCTTGAAAGACTTGATATACCAAAGTGCAGTATAAATCTTTAAGTTTTTTATGTCTGTGAATTACTATTATCTCCAAAAACTACAATAACGGTTGCATAGATACAAAGTAAATCACAACCAACAATTTTTAATAATTATGCTGAATATTCTTGAATAATTTATTTGCCAAAAAATCATATCTGTTTCTTTGTATTAACGATATAAGCAACAGAAATGCCTAACGTATTTCAAACGTTTAAGCCAAGAACAATGCACTGAACCATCGACAGAATGTTCTGTCACAACTTCTAATTAAACCTATACATGTACATGCATGTCCGCTTCACAATGTAAATAAAAATTAACTCTTAGAAATGTCAGTTTAATTATAAAGAATAGACCTGGGACGCAATCTAACATAAATGTTCACATACAGATCAGTGTAGATAAATTAATTTTATTTAGCTTTAGTCTATCGTAATTACACGTAATACATAAATATAAGAGAAGAATCTGGACATCATCGTTTGTACTTTTATCGTGATTTTGATCCTGGCCACACAAAGTTTGATATCACTAGTACCGCATTTACACGGTTGTATTCTACTGACCATAGATTTCGACTTATTTGCCCCTGGGTTAACACTGTACGGTACACTGTTCTTTTTGAATGGAAGTGTAAATTGTTAATTATTGGACCAATCAATTACAACATTTACTTATCCTCAAACCATTTTGATTACGAAAGTTATTGAGAAGACCAATGGCAACATTTTTCTCATTTAAGGTCAGACGAGACGTTCCTCAATACTTTGTATTTTTTCCCAAGAATTCGTGATCGAAATATTGCTACTTGAACAAGTTTTCTCACAAAAAATTGAGGTACATTGTTTGGTTTATGTATATGTTTTCAGACATTTTGAAAACACTTAGATATCGGAAGATAATAATTATCAATATTTCTGGTACATTACAAAGGGATACAAAAACTGTTATTCGAGGAACGTATCGTCAGAACTTTTAAAATGTTTTAGGGGATTATATGAAGCAAAAATAAAATTCAAGTCGGGCGAAGAAGGGGGGAGGGGGATAATACGCAACATATTTAACTCAGTCGACTAAAATAGAGGAAAGACAAGATGTGTTTGTGAAACACTGATGTCCCCGTATGGCAGCTTATGGCGAAGGTTAAAGTTTGTCAAATGCAAGTCAAACTCCAGGTCGAGAAATCAAAAATATTGGTACCCAAAGAAAGGACTTGTCTCGAGGAATATACAAGTGAAATATGAAAGCCCTAGCACCAACCGTTGAAAAGTTATGACGAAGGTTTAAGTTTTTTAAAAGTAAGTAAAACGGCAAGGTCAAGGTCAAATGGTGCCCAAGGGAAGGTCTTGTCACATGTGATACACATGATCGTGAAATGTGAAAGCCCTAAAATCAAACGTTCAAATGTTATGGCCATGGTTAAAATTTTTAAAAGAAGGTCAAACTCCAAGGTTAAGGTCATGGGGCCAAAATTGTTGGTATCCAAAGGAAGGTCCTGTCACAAGGAATATGCATGTGAAGTATGAAAGCCCTTACACAAACTGTTCAAAAGTTATGACCAAGGTTAAAGTTTTTCAAAAGTAAAACAGACTCCAAGGTAAAGGTCAAAGGGTAAAAGTTTTTGGTATCTAAAGGAAGGTCCGATCTCAAGAAATGCATATGTGAAGTATGAAAGTCCTAACACCAACTGTTCAAAAGTTATGGCCAAGGAAAAGTTTTTCATAAAGTAGGTCAAACTCCAAGGTCAAGGTCAAAGGGTCAGGTTATTTGGTATTTAAAGGAAGATCTTGTCACAAGGAATGCATATGTGAAGAATGAAAGCTCAAGCACCAACTTTGTAAAAGTTATGGCCAGGGTTATAGTTTTTAAAAAAGTAGATCAAACTCCAGGGTCAAGGTCAAAGGGTCAATGATGTTGGTATTAAAGGATGGTTCTGTCACAAGGAATACACATGTGAAGTATGAAAACCCTAGCACTAATTGTTCAAAAGTTATGGCCAAGGTTAAAGTTTTTCAAAATTAAAGCAGGTCAAACCCCAAGGCCAAGGTCAAAGTTGTGATATCCAAAGGAAGGTCTTGTCACAAGAAATACACATGTGAAATATGAAAGCTCTAGCACGAACTCTTCGAAAGTTATGGCCAAGGTTAAAGTTTTGCAACAGTGGGTTAAAATCCAAGGTCGAGGTCAAAGGGTCAGAGTTGTTGGTATCCTAAGGAAGGTCTTGTCACAAGAAATACACATGTGAAATATGAAAGCCCAAGTACCAAATGTTTGAATGTTATGGCCAAGGTTAAAGTCTCATAAAATTTTGCAAAAGTGGGTCAAACTCCAAAGTCAAGGTCAAATATGATGGCACCAAAAGAAAGGTCTTGTCACAAGGAATACACATGTGAAGTATTTATGAAAACCATAGCTCCAACTAATCAAAAGTTATGGGCAAGGTTAAAGTTTTTGCGGACAAACAGACAGACAGCTAGACAAACAGACAGACGGACAGGGCAAAAACTATTTGCCCCCGAATCTTGGATTACGGGGGCATTAAAATAAAACCAAGCTAAGACAGTGGGTATTTTGTTTAAAATTTCAGTGAACATTAATATTAACTGTATCTAAAGAGGCTATAAACATTGGAACGCCTTTATTTCTCACTCTCACCAAGAAAAGAAACTTGTGTTTTATGTGTACGGAAGTCGATTTAGAATTTATCAAACATATTTTTGTTCCGATTGCTACATTTCTTAAAACGAATTGTGTCTTGATTAAAATATCCAACGGTAGTTTTATATTGCATCAATCCGGATATTTCAACAATACTGAAATCTTTTTTAAAATTTACATCAACCGAGGATGAAATTTTTTTGATAACCTCCATTTCCATGATTGGTTGACTTTATGTATTTTACGTCCTAGTGAGAATATTAATATAAAATTGAGATTTACCAAAGAATATGGTCGCTTAAGGTTAATTTCGCGGAGAAATATGGCCGATTTAGGTATGAGGAATTTTGTCAGTGCCTTGTTTATATTTTTCCTTCTTCTTATCATCAGTACATGTATTCTTGAAACACTTGGACATGAAACAGGAAGTCTGTTCGACATTTTGCTTTAATTATAGTTGAAATTGAATATAGCTGAAGCGTTCACGTGTGACAAAAATAACAGACTTAAAAATAAATTATTATTTATCTTTAGTTATTGCTTGGTTGAAACTGATTCAGTCATTTCAGAGAAGCTGAAAATGTTTAAAAATTTACGTATTCACACGACACACAATGCAATCGGGGGATGCATGTGAATTATAATTCTTAACTCAATAATCATTTTAAAAAAAAAAAAAAACCTTAAATGTAAGAGAAAGAATAATGCTAATGTGAATCAAAAAATTATGTTCTAATTCCACTCAGTCTCAAACGAACAGAAAATATTTAGTACCCTGACTTAAAATCATAACCACACTGATGATGGGGAAATTCTTGCGCATGCATATACTCATACATTACATAAGGTACATAAACCACGCGAATATCAGTCTCGCTGTGCTCATATGTTTATCTACAGTATAGACATAATTAAGACTTTTAATAATGATACATAATATTAATGTATATGCAGAATGGAGGGGGGGGGGGGGTGTGTGAAGCGTGTGAAACGCGCGAAGTGAATGAAAAATAGAAGACACAGAAAGTGATAGCGACCAAGCTTGCGAGGTCGCTATTATTTTCTGTGTCTGAGGTCAATATCACTTGACATGGGTCCTTAGAACCACATGTTGACCGTTCTCTGAAGTCCATAATAGTTATATTACATAATCACTAAAAGTGAATAATCTGATACAGTCCTAACTGAACGGACTTGACTGTCATTACGTCATAATGGTAAAAAAATGCTTTTTATATTAAGACGTCACTTTCTACGTAAGTTTTTTTGCAGCCGAACGGTGAGTCATGCGATATCATATTCCGCCGACTCGTTTCGTGTCGTTACCACAAAAGGACGAATATCACGTGACGTCCTTTCAGCCAATGAAAATTACAAAAATAAGCATCTTATAATATATATATATATATATATATATATATATATATATATATACATACATACATACATGTATTTACTGAATCATTTCCAATTACCTGTTTTTGATTGAATTGCATAGGGCAAGAAATTTAAAAAGAAAAATATTGTTTTCATATGTCGTTGCCTTTATATATGGTTATTTTCAATATTGAAAATCATACGTGAATTAATTGTTTTTCAACCAAACCCATTGTTTATACTTTAAACAAGAGGCCAAGATTCATTACCATGACCAGACTTTAACAGACATTCCTTGGAGGAAATGCCCTGATTTATAATATTATTGTGACAAATCAAGATGACGCTCTAGGGCTTCTACAGCAGGCAAGATAATGGATCCCAAGGAATTCATTTATTATAGATTTTTTTTCTTTTCAATCAAACTTGCAATAAAAAAAAATTCATAATTTATCTTTGATTGCCTACAGAGTTGGAAAACTAATCACCCACACAGTCGCCATATACACCATGTTAGCGTATTTACATTGTGTCCGACGTCGGCATCAATTTACTGTACCTTAAGTTTGCAACAGTCAGGCTGACTATTTTCTAAGTGTATCCAAGATGTCATATTGAAAGAACTTTTATCCTATAGGAGACTTGTAACACTTTTCTACCATTACCTATGGTTTTCTCGTTAGTAGTTAAACTTCAAACCTAAACATTTTATATTCATATTCCAATTCACTTAGATCAACTGATTTTTTTTCTTAGATAGAAGACAATGTCTAATGACTGTGTTACAAAACGTCCCCAAGGTTTACCTAGCTTCATTTACCCTTTTCATGCAATCTCCCTTGCAGAGTTGTCGTTCGCTCTCTATCAGAAACCTCTGAGATGGGCTCACGTCAAGATTTTTGATATAACGTTAAAAACATAACATTCTAACAATTATTTCAAATTAAACTAGTAGTTCTAGATATACTGAGAAAATATCTACCTTAAAAGAGAAACATTAGTGCAGGCGTTCAATTATAATGAATTAAAACAAACGCACTATTTCTCCATCGTGTTTATCACTTTAATATACGCGAGCCAACGGCAGAGGTGAAGGTATGAGCCGATGGTAGAGAGTACTGTTCATGTTGCCGAAAATATACCACTTTTTTTTTTTCACTCCATGGTTGCAATTTCGTTAGACTCTCTTCCCACCCCCTCCCACGTGAATTTATTAAGGTCTTCCTTTGTCACTTCTACAAGTAAGAGCTTCGCGGGCCGGTTAACATCCCTTCGCTCCTAATTTATTATAGTACCTCGGGTGCCAAGTCAAAATATCTCTCCTTGAACATCTAGCATGCTGGAGTACCTCTGTCTCATGCTTTGCTTTCCTTTTCTTTGATTCAATCACACAGTATGTTATGTACAAAATTTAATGATAGAAAGAATATCGAAAATAAATATAACTCGAACATAATTTGCTGAAAAGTTAAATTGTTATCACTGATTGTCATCATCACGATTTCGGACCACAGTCACTGGTATATGCGCATGGTGCACGATATAATCACTAACACTCCCCATGAATGTCTTGCGTAGAGTACCCAGACCACGTGATCCCATTACGATAAAATCAGCGCCCTCTCCACGCGCTATTTTGATGATAGCTCGTCCAGGTTCCCCGGATGTTCTAACTACACATCCATCGATCTTGAAAAGGAAAAGAAACTACAAGTCATAATTTACTAATAAAATAAGTAATACAAATCTGTCGTCAGAACAATTAGATATAAAAGCCATCTGTTAAATCAAAACAAGATGTGTTTGTGAAACACTGATGCCCCGTATGGCAACTTATAGCAAAGGTTAAACTTTCTCAAATGCAAATCAAAGATGTTGATACCCAAAGTAAGGTCTTGTATCGAGGAATAAACCTGTGAAATATGAAAGGCCTAGCAGCAACCATTGAATAGATATGGAAAAGGTTAATTTTTTTTCAAAAGTATGTCAAACATCAAGGTCAAGGTCAAATGGTCAAAATTAATGGTGCCAAAGGAAAGGCCTTCTCCCAAGAAATACAAGGGTGAAATATGAAAGTCGAAGCACAAATCTTCAAAAGTTATGGCCAAGGTTCAAGTTTTCCAATAGTAGGTCAAACTCCAAGGTCAAAGGGTCAAAGCTGTTGGTATCCAAAAAAAGTTCTTGTCACAAGGATTACATATCTGAAGTATGAAAGCCCAAGCACCAACCGTTCAAAAGTTATGGCCAAGGTTAAAGGTTTCCAAAAGTACGTCAAACTCCAAGGTCAAGGTCAAAGGGTCAAAGTTGTTGGTATCCAAAGGAATGTATTGTCACAAGGATTACACATGTGAAATATAAAAGCCCTAGCACCAACTGTTTAAAAGTCATAGCAAAGATTAAAGTTTTCCAAAAGTAGGTCAAACTCCAAGGTCAAGCTCAAAGGGTCAAAGTTGTTGGTATCCAAAGGAAGGTCTTGTAATGGGATTACACATCTGAAGTATAAAAGCCCTAGCTCCAACCGTTCAAAAGTTATGGCCAAGTTAAATTTTGGTAAATTTTGCAAAACTGGGTCAAACTCCAAGGTCAAAAGGTCATATATGGTGGTACCCAAGGAAAGGTCTTGTCATAATGAACACTCATGTCAAATATTAAAGCCTTATCCTTGACAGCGCAATAGTTATGGGCTATGTTAAAGTTGACAACAGATCTAGACAGACAGACAAACAGACAGACAGGACAAAAACAATATACCCCCGGGATCTTTCGATCCAGGGGCATAAAAATTAGGATAATCCTGCAAACGTGAATTTACCAAGTTCGCATCGTTAAATATGAGACGATTTTTGGTGTGTATGAAGAGGCTGCTTAAATTATTCAATTAATCAAGTGTCAGAGAAGTCTCCAATAAATATTCCATTTTCAAAATGTTCCCTTCAGAACTTTTCTATAGAGGAGGAAAAATAAGTCAACAGGACAGAGAGACAACTCGAAGGAACACTTTTACAGTCAGAGTTTTTTCACTTTGTCTCAAGGGATAAATGATGATAATAACTGCGGAATATACTTTTTGCACATTTAAAGATATTTACTTATAATCTTTAGAGATATAAAAAAAAATCTTACTTACAAGTCTCAACCTCATCTTTTTTATAAACTTTCGGAAAAACATATATTTTACTCTGTTTTGAACTATTATCAATAGTTTCAATATTATAAAAAAAGTATCAATGTTCTTTTTTGAAATTTATATATCATTTTTTATAAGTTATTTTGTATTTTCTGTGCAATTTGAATGTCTTTTCCTCCGAAATGTGGCTTAGGCAGTCCAATTTGTTTTCATTACTTGAGCGTTCAAAAGTTGACGTTTTGGAATGGCCTTAAAATTTGAAACAACAAAATATTTAATTACCTGATATTTTTCGTACGTTATTTAATAAACATATATATATATATACATATAAAATACTTTCATGTAAATCAGTTAAATCTGATTCAACGAGAAACATTTTTTAAACATCATTGCCCTGTGGATGTTGAAACCACGCCAGCGTAATAGAACTTATCAAAAGTCAACACTGACGACGGTTTATATTCCAAAAAAAAGTTGACTGCTCGAAAATTTTGCGCGTACAATTCACCGTAATATATATTTATATGAGACATTCAGTATAATTTAATAAATTTAAATATTGCAAGTAGTTGAGGCTAACATTGAAAATTTTCACACCTCGAAAATCATCATCAAACTCGGCTGCGCCTCAGTCGACAACGGCTTTCTTGGGGTGAAGATTTTCAACGTTACCTTCAACTTCATATTTATGCAATATTGATTCATTTTGATTGACATGAATGTGTGTTATTACCCCTGCTTTTTTAATTTGATCTTTCCAGTCAGCAAACATTTCTTTGATTTTTCTCTCCTCTTCATTCGCCAACTCCGAGGCCTTAGAAGGATCCGTGGTCAAGTATGCTAAAAATATATTAATATTTGTTACATTTATTATTTACAAATCATTCCTAAAACACTGTGATATAATTCACAAATTACTCCATAACTGTGATAATTTTTTTTGGTATTTTTTTGTAACATGTACATTTTATATTTTTCCTTGCGATGACGGAAGGTAAGAACTATCAAAGAGAATGAAATGAAATTTGTTTCTATATATATATATATATATATATATATATATATATATATATATATATATATATATATATATATATATATATATATATATATATATATAAACGAATTTAATATATTTAATATCCACCTGTTATATATGAGATTCTGAGCTACTGAATAAAATGTAAATGTGCATCCTTCATTTTTACACGCAATAAAAATTTTATATATATGTTCGATACTTGTGCGAATCACGGGGGTTCGTCGTTCCAACATTTTGTAACATACTACTTTGTATACCTCCGATTATAATCCACCTCCCTCACTCAAATGTTGATATATCAGTTCATATTTAGTATTACGCATGTGTAATATACTTCCAGTCGTCATGGTTATCCAATCCATTTTCAGTAAAAGGAAGTATATTATTTGCTTTCAAAACTTGTGCTTTTTCAATACTTCTAATGAAGTGTACTCTACTGTACTATGTTCTCTGGCTTTAAATCATTTGCTCCAATCTAAAATAAATATATGTCTCTTTTTTTCAGAATCGCAATTCTGACCTTTTCTTGACCTTTACTCATTTATCCACTCCCAACGACAACTCCCATACCCATACAACATGTAGTTACCCCCATAAGTCTTAATCATACTGGACATTAGTATCTTTATAGGAACAATTAACACAGCTGGCATAACACGAGTGGTGTTAATTTAGTGTCATTCTGTGTAATAACACTTTAAAAAGAATAGTAACTTAATGCAATGAGTTCCTCATCGAGCTATATGTTTTTGTTTTGGAAAAGTGGGTAAATATATAAAAGTTACTGTGACTACTTATTGTAATGTATATAAAACTGTACACTCGAGATTCTCTGTGCTGTCAAGGGATAAGTGATAGCATCATCTTCCTTTCCTTCTCTGTATCACTAAATGACTATGACAGGCATATTCTACTTAACAATACAGCTCACTCTAAACATTGGACACAAACACGCAGTAATTCTACAGTCATAAAGCAGAACGCTTCTCGTAAATATTGTTTTTTTTACCTAAACATTCAGTAAATATTTCAAACGATTTTCATTGCACCATGTAGTACATGGCACCTGTTTTTAGAATTAAGTACATAGGCAACGTACCTTACCTACTGATATTTTTTCAAGATAATCTTAATTTAAGATTATAGTGCCGTCAGATGTTCATAGACAAGAAATCAGCATGCATTACCAGGGGTTTCGAAAAGATATCAATTGATGAAAATTTTTGTATAATTCAAAGAAAAATATACAAAAATTACTAAACATATATTCTAGATGTTTTGTTTATCCAAACTTGTTTTAGAAGAAGTGTACAACAGCATATATATATAGACATTAAAATGTAACACAGTTCCTTTGAGTATTGGAACTCTTCAACTCCAGGGGAAAAGACAATAAAGTTCAAACTACGTTGCGTTAAGCTTTAACCAGAATGTAACTTTACAAAGAATAGACAGGGTGCCACATTGCATAGATAAAGAGTCTTATCGACATCTCAGCTTTGGAAATACTAAAAACGATCTGAAATTCATTCATACATGTACTTCGTGGTGCTGCTTTAAGCGTTAACCTGTCTCCTTTCACCAACGAGCATTGTGTATTTAGGGCAATATTCATTGTGTATTTAGGGCAATATTCATTGTGTATTTAGGGCAACATTCATTGTGTATTTAGGGCAACATTCATTGTGTATTTAGGGCAATATTCATTGTGTATTTAGGGCAATATTTATTGTGTATTTAGGGCAATATTCATTGTGTATTTAGGGCAGTATTCATTGTGTATTTAGGGCAATATTCATTGAATTTGTCGTTTTTTCATTCTCAGTACATGCAGAGACATAAATACAATGTCTCTGGTACATGAGATAATTTCAAGTATTTTAATCTGTATATCTTATTTGTTAAAATAAAGTATACCAGGAAAAACACTATGATAACAATTGGTGCTCTTGTAACAGATAACAAGCACACGTACTAATCATAACAAGTTTTAAAAACCGTTAAAAGTAAAATATAATATACTATTTTTCAATAAATATCAAGGGATTACAATTTGGTTATATCTTCAGCGAGTTTGAAAATCATGTGTACCTTTATATTAAACAGCTCATTCGTGACCTTCTTGTCATTGCATGTGTTTAAAAAAAAAAGATCTGGTTAATTCCAAAGGGTCTTGGACCGAATACAAAGATAAAACTTCATCTATTATTAAAGCAAAACCGACTTAGAAAGCAAATAACGTGATAAGAATCATTTATCATTAGCATTTCCAAGACAATCTCCTTATTCCAAGAATGAAAGACACGTACACCAGGTCATGAGCTTTCCAGAAGAAAAAAAACCTGCTTTCCATTTCACAATTTACAGGTTTGAAATTTAAATTATTGTTTTACCTAGTAAGTTATACCGGGATACCCATGCATCCCCCCCCCCCCCCCCCAATAATAATAATAAAATACCTAAATTACATGTAATTAATAAACTAGTTAATTTCTGTTCAATGAGTATTTAAATATAGAGTGAAATGCTCATGTTAAACATACCGGTATTCTTTGTTTAGCTGTTTTAATTTTGAATCTACTGAGTGGATGAAACGGAAATCAAAAGAAAGGATAGGACGAGAGATGTCATGTTCTATTTTTTTTCAATTGGTCAAATTTCAAAAGAGTTTTGTTTTATAATTTCCAACATGTCAACATGGTCAATATTTATTCTTATGTGTTAATTACTTCATCTATATAATACACACCTCCATGTTTCAATATTATCTATAAATTGGGTTCTGAATGAAAAGTACTGCTTTTATTTCAGTTTGAATGCAGCAATGGCTTACTACAAATCTTTTGATTGAATATTTCAAGTTCGGCATTTACGGTATTTCAATAAACGTGCAAGCCAGCTATGATAACAACGTTCTAAATGTAATTTATCGCATAGTTACAATGGCGAGCAATGGATTTTCTTTCATGAAAATCAATTCGTAAGTCCCATGCTTCATATTTCTTTAACCAGACAATAATGCATCTGTAGCTTCCCTCGTAAACTTGTTTCTGGAAACGTTATATTTATAGATAGGGACTGACTATGAAGAATTGTCCCTGACTCTTCAATGAAATATTCTGAGTCAGATCAGCTATTGACCTACTTATCGCATTTTTACGTTTGTAAATAAAAAACTAATAGCTCCCTACTATATATACATGTACAAGAATTTACTAGTAATCTAAAATATAAGCACGATGCAGAATGTAGGAAAAAACTAGATGTATTTTAATCTCCCTGCAAGGAAACATTTATTTTAAATTACTGTTGCATCCATTTAAACAATACCACAGAGGGTTGAATGATGCTTTGCTGCATGCTTTATTCTCTTTTTTACTTACACTGTTGCTAATGTAGTAAGCCAATTTTAAGTCTTTTCTGGATGTTTAAACATACATCAACTTAACTTTCAGAAAAATGCACCTCTCTAGAGTGCTGTGCAGAAATAAATGTTATTATGTCTCTGAGAGACTCTAACATTGTGAAGAAAAAAGTGGATTTCAGTGGTGATGGACGTAAAATTTATAAAGTTTCAACAGTCTGTTTGCTGAGTATTATGTTTAAAATTGAATATATACAATAGGTAATTTCGAAGTGCTCGCGTTACGTATACATCATTACATCAGTATACTTACGTGAATTGATGAGTGTCTTGTATTCTGGACAGTGAACTAATACAACCTTGTCGCCCTTCTTATACATGTTTTCTACATACCCTGAAAGAGTAAAAATAGTAACGTACACTATTTTACAACTTCTATGATTAACACGAGAACTGGGTTACTTTCATTTGAATACAAATGCTTAAATTTTGTCACTTGGAGAGCGCCATAATATGTAAAAGGTTAAATTAGGTCAAACGTGCCAATGGTAAACAATGATCAAACTACGACTTTGAATGAAATGCATGACAACACATATAAAAACTGCGCAATTTTTATAAAATTTCAAATTTTTAACTTACATTCAAAGGCATGTTGGGAGTGTAAACTACCATCCATAGCGACCACAACAGTACATCCCGGGCGTTTAGAAGGCCCCGAAAGCGCGCCTGGTAGATCCTCAGCCATGGCCAAAGAGTCAGACTTCCGTTAAAACAAGGAATGCTTCCTGATTCTTCACAAACTGTGCAGCAATTACAAGACCGTGAATCACTTAATGATGCTGTAGTTGACAACACGTTATGACAGGTATGGAGGAGGGAAAAAGCCAGTGGGAATGCGTTCTACACTGCTCGATCTCTGCACGTGTACGTGTCTCGAGACAATATAAGGGTGTCTGTTACGTATATAAAACATTAAGCCAGATGCAGTTAGTTTAAACGTGTAGATCAATAGTGTTAATGGATAAAATACAAACCGAGCTTAAAAATATCTCTGGCTACATTCGTTCAAGATTAATGAGAAATTGATTAAGGAGAAAATACGGCTTGGCGGATCCAAGTATAGTTCTCTCTTTCTCATCAAATACACTATAGAATACACCATAGTAAATTCTACGTTATTAGTTTTACAAAAGACCACATTCACGATTTTTTGAAATAAAGATGACGTGCGCCGTTCAGACTAAGACGCCACGAAACAATCCAATATTTCTTTATGATGTAATTAAGCAAGGAACTCAAAAATCCAAGGAATGCATATATACATGCAATCATTCTCCGTCTTCTAGCATTAATCCAAGAAATAACATGCATGCAGAAGGACATACTTTTTTTTGGCGAGGCACCTGGATGCGTTTTAGCTTACGATACAAAGCTTTAGTTATATTCACATCAGACAGTTAAACTCAAATTATATGAACAGTCTAAAAAAGATTAAGATAAGTTTGTGCACTAAAAAGTGGATGTAATTGTTTGAAGAGAAGGCTTTTATCGATTTTCAGGATCGAAGAGAGATATACTTGTGGTGTATTTTTGGAAGCATCTGATACAAAAGTAACAATGCTAATTTTTTTGGTTTGTTTTTTACGTTTTGTTTTTTGTTTTGGTTTTCTTAAACTGCGATCTTTTGTTTACAATGTAAATTAACAATTCCCCATAAGCATAATCTATCATACGACCACTGAGTGATTTTTTTAATTATTTGATTAGCCAAGGACTTGTGTCGAACGCATATTTTTGTGCCCGAATTACAAACAAGTTTAAAAAAAATCGATAATATGTATTTGGTTGATAGAGTGCGCTGCTAAAAAATATCAGATGCATTGTTAGACTGGAATAGCAGTATGAACGTTATAAATGTAACGTGATAATGTCCGTAATTTTGTATATATTTTGACTGATAAGAATGTTTGGTAGGCAATTAAGTCTTTTTTCTTTAAATCTCTTTCCCAAAGTTATGGTGATTCTAAAGACTACACAATTTTGATATATTGCAGGCATAGTATCGAGGAGAGGAGAGACTAACCTTTTACTGTTGAAATGTTCATTGAAAGACTGCATAGGATTTCGTAAACAATTTACTTCTTTTGGCCTGTCAGTTTTTCTGGCTGCCCCACCTCTTTCGAATACGATAAGTAGTGTAAATTGCTGCCTGTTGAAAACTAAGTGGACTTTTAACTGTGATACGATAATTTCATATGTTAATTAAGTTCTTCTAAGATGCAAATATCATGCATGGGAAAAGGAGACCTAAGTTTGACGGCCTCGTAAGCCCTATAGCTTTATAGCTAGTGTAGCAAAAAAGTCTTTTAGCAGTTTTGACTTACATACAAGCGATCGTCGAAATGATATTGAAAGTTTTTCGATAATGAATACTATGGTTTCCAACATGCGATGTGATTGTGTAATCCACTTATCTCGATATATAAGTATACATAGAAATGTCAGTGATAGTTTTAATAAAGCAGAATTTATTCAAAAATTTCTACTTGAAAAGAAGAAGTCTATTGCAGTGACCTTCTGTTCGACATTAAGATATAACGATGACGGTTTGTTTTTTTTTTCAATTTTAAGCAATCCTACGTTGATTTGACGCCACAGAGCCTGACGCATTTGGATGTTTTATTAGAAAAAGTCATTGATGGCAAACTAACAATTAAAATTCATGAAAAACTTTATGACTTTTTCGAAAATATTTTTAAACTGCATCATGATCACGTTGTCAAAAATATGAAAAAGTCGGTTCAAGTATAGTTAGTGCTTCATGATTTGATAACTTCACTGTGTTAATTATAGTATTTAAACTTGTACTGTAAGAATTGTATTCAATAAAATTGATGTCAAAATAGCATTTTATTTATTTATTTTTTGTAACTTTGATCCAGAAATAGAAGATCAACTTCAAAAAGAGATCATGCTGGTACACGGACCATAGTCTTTTAATTTCATGATCATATGCATGAAATATTTCAAAGTCTACTGAATCCGGATGAAACTTTAATCAGCTGACTCAAGAAACTGTAAAAATTCTAGCAGAAGGTTATTTTTTTTTATATTTTCACCATACGGACTTTTAATTGACTGAGTTACTTTGGTTGGCCAAAAATGTGCTTAAACTGCAAGATATAATAACGCAATGTATTCATTCAAGTAAATAAACACTAATGCCAAGGGATTTGCTTTATTTCCTTAATTGTAGTGTTTTGAAGTTTTAACTTCATCAGAAAACATTACTCATTTGGAAAATTATTTTGTTAAAAATATTCTGATTGAATACACAAGAACTCCGAAGTTGATATTCAAAAGATGCTTGAGTTTCTGATTGACAATATCTATTTAGTTTTTGAAGATCAAGTCTTCCAACAATTTTCCAAAAATCTGTCGGGAATTCCTAATGGGTAAAAAATTGAGCCCCGTTATGAACAGACATATTTTTGTATTCATACAGAATTTATTCAAAAACTTCTACATGAAAAGAAGTCTTTTGCTGTGGCCTTCTATTCAATATGTAGATATATCAACGACGTTTTATTAATTAACAATATTTCATTCCTACGATGATTCGATATATCCCTTTGAACTCAAAATAAAAGATACCACAGAATCTGTCACATCATTTTTGGATATTTTACTAGAAAAAGACGTTAATGGTACACATAACCTTACAACAAAACTCTGTGATAAACGTGATGACTTAATTTTTTCTATCCCCAACTTCCTTTATTTATGTAGCAATATACCATTATCACCTGCAGATGAAGTTTATGTCTCCCACTTGATTCGATACGCAAGAGCATGCTCTACGTACGAACAATTTGTGAAACGAGGCAAGCTATTGACAAATAAGTTGATGAAACAAGTATATCAACAGTCTTGTTTAAAGTCAACAATTTTGCAAATACTATGGTCGATGCAATGACCTTGTCAGCAAATACAACCTGTCGTTAAAATTTCAAAATTTAAACATTGAAACTTCAATTGAAAATTATAGCAAATGATTGTAATTTATATTTTCGTCATATGGAATATAATTGACTAAGCTACTTCTTTAGCCAAATATTGTGCTAGTGTATCCTGTTATCAGAATGCATTACGAAGGAATGTTGTGCGATGCAGTTTTGTACACTGGTAATGCAGTTTATTGAATAAATAAATTCTCATTATGCCAATATTCACAAACCTCTACTCTTCTGCTTTATACAGAGTTTTAATATCTACGATTGAATAATATTTTGAACAATAAAGTCATTTATTGTTAAGTTAGACACTCGTGCAACAGTCTTAATCAGGACCAAACTAGCACACTCTTTAATTCTTTAGCATCTTTCACGAAGGTAAGTTGCAATCAATTACTATAATTGATTGAGTATAGTTTAAACGGGTCTTCTGAGAGACCGAGTTTCTCTTACCTAGAAAATAGTCACTAGGCGTTTTTGAGAGACTGTCGTCAGATAAAACCCTAAGCTATGCAATTTGGCACCTCTGTACGTAGAATGAGCCAAAAATCTAAATTGCAATTTTGTCTGCAATACGATTCCTCACACCAGCGAAGATTTTAATCTATCAAGAGAGACAATAAATTTGGTTGCAAAAGTTGATGTAAATAATGCACATTTGATATTCAACATGAATGACTTATGGCTTGCATATTCATTGACTCAAATCCATATACTGACTCCCTTCTTTGTAGTGTTTTGCAGTTTTAACCTCTGTAGAAAATTCCTTCGCAAACCAGAAATCAGTGGTTTGCTGCAAAAATTAACACATTTGATAAATATATTTGTTACAAAGTCTGACGATAATTTTCATCAATTTGGTTGACTGTTCATACAGTGCTGATTCAACTAAATGTCAAGATCACTTATTTTAATACACGTATTTTGCAGTTGTTACTTAGGTCAAATTCATTTGCTAAATCAGAGTTACCGGATATTTATTAGTACATGTACTTTGTATAAACTTTTTTTCTTTTGTTTAATTTATAACATTTTCCGTATTTTACCTTTAAAAAAGACCTTGTACGGAGGAAGAATGGGAGATGTCTTATAAAGAAATTCAAGCCTATGGTGAAATCCTTTTAGTTGAAAAAATGAAAATTGTTTAAATTTAATATACATGTACTATATATGCCTACGAATTTAATTTTCGTTTAGACTTTTGCGATATGATTTTGTTCACTCACAAGAGGATTAAAAGGTTTTTACAATTTAACTACAAACAGTAAAATTCGGTTATTAAGAACTCGGATATAAGGTAATCTCGGTTATAAGGACTTTTTTATGAATCCCCTAGGCGACTTTTCACTGTTTCTTATCCGGTTATAAAGAATCTGGGTTATTAAGGAAGTAAATTTTGAGGTCCCTTTGATTTCCTTATAACCGAGTTATACTGTAGCTCTCCTAAAGAAAGTACAATTGTTCAGAGAGTATTAAAGAGATACATGTTGCAGACTAGATTATAATACATTTAATGGTATAAAGTTTGAATTACAAAAATATAACAATTGGAGTATTCTTGAATTTACTTTGCATTCTTAAACTATTTATCTACAAAAATAATATTCGATTGAAAATAAGATTTCAACCTTTCCTTTGAGCATAAAAATATTATTTCAGTGCATTTCTGGTTATAAATGGTAAAGAACAAGGTACGGTTTCAATACAAATCTTGCCCTGTGTTTTTCTTAAAAATAAAAGTGATGTAAAAAATTATAACTCCTTTTTTCTGAATCATTGAAATTCCATGTAGAAAGATCATACAAATCATTTTTCTCACATGACCTTCTTAATGCTAATTGTGACGTCATAAACTTGTGCATTTTCCCGTATTTTCTTAAAAAGATGCAGAAGACACTCATTTTCAATGGAATTTTCTTTCAGATAATATTGTCCACAGGCATCGCCCACAAAGATTTTGAGATATGTGATTTTTCAAAGAATTTTACACAACATATCCGAAAATAAAAGTGGGCGACGGCTGTGGACAATATTTTCTTAAGGAAAATAACCCTTGAAATGGGGCATTTTGAGGCTTTTTCTGTTTAAAATAGAGAAATGCATAAAAAAAATGACGTCATTTTTCAAGAATGGTACTCCTTCATGCCATATTCTTTCCTGATTTATTGCAGTCATATACTCAACTAATTCCTAAGCCAGTTTCAAAACTTTTTTGAAAACATTAAATTTTTAGGGCACAATAAAGTTAAAACCGTACCTTCTTCTTCAAAATTTATTATAAAGTAGTCCACATGTACATGTATATGGAATATTATACAGTATACATGTACTTCTATTTGCCACGACAATTAAGAGATACATGTATTTTTCGTACCGTGCAGATTTCACCCGGTTTCAAAGTGCATGTTATTTGCATTGAACTATTTACCAAATGCTATTGACTTGAAAAAGAAACATTTTGAAATTAAAGACTTTTTGACAATCCTTCTTTCTTTTAATACACGATGTCTGACTCATCCAGTTCAGTTAGTATTTTTTTTGAAACACGATATATGATCAGGGAGCACTGACAATGAAGCCCTTCTTATAGAACAAACACCATGACATGTTTACAATAGATCAGATTAAAGCCTTTTTTTCATTTCCTTAAGACAAATGGTCGTTTTGTTCTTTTCCTTTTGCTGTCCTTTTAATTATTACGGTAATCTTTGTAACTTTAATTTTCTTTAACGAACCAAAGAGAAATGGTATCATGATTATAGAGAACTAAACATCACTCAGAAAAAAAGCACAGAGAGAAAAACAGCATCATGACATGTACGTATTCATTTACTAGTATATATGATACTATAAAGCACGTTTACTTAAATTAAATAATTTACTTTCATTTCATTGCTAATTAGGAGGCAATGGAATTATTGTCGTTACTTATCTTTATTATTTTCCATCTATTTTTTTTTTTCATTTACAGGCCGCGTTCGATCATCAAAGTCTCGGATGAAACCCCCGAGAATTTCTGTTGGTTCACTGTCCCTAGGTATACACCAACTCTCCGTCAGCCGGCCAAGGACAGGTATGTCTATTACTAATATCAAATTAAGATGTCAATTTAATTGCTACTCTCAGGAAACTGAGTTAAAAAACCCACAAATTTAGGCATTCATCTTAACAATGCCATTTGCAACATTGGAGGGATAAGGTTTGAATGTGTCTTTTTCTGCTGTTATCCGGACAATCACAATAATATATAGCTCTTCCCTATGTTAACTTTCTGAAACCATTTTTGATGAATCTGGGAAAATCTTGATTAGATTCAAGTATTGAGGTGTACCAAAACTATACATATAATATCGATGTGTTTTTAAGGCTCATTATTATAATCGTGTTCTAGAAGAATTTTTGTTTTCATTCTGCGTCTTGAAATTCAACTTTTACTCACAGTTCACTTTCTAAGTATAAAATTCTTCAAAATCACATTTCAGTGAAATACTTTTAACATTCCAGTCAAAGATGAGTTCGATCTACCCTCCCTATAGACCATTTTCCTATGACATATTTTGCCTAGGAGTTATTTCCCTTAGCCGCCATATTGTAGGGTAACATTCCCAGATCCCTTCATTATTCAACCAAGTTCAATTTCTTATACTGGTTACTGAGGTAAAGATAACACTATTTTTCTTATGAATACACATTTGTTATATCCTCTATTAATTCATGATAATAAGATTGTAAATATTTTCCCCCATATTTTTCTTGAATGCATGTTTAAAATTGGTTGCTCAAAGAGGTAAATTCACTGCTTTGCCATACAAGATGGCGGCTAAGGGGAATAACTCCTAAGCAAAATGTGTCATAGGAAAAGGGTCTATACTGGATTCCCAAACGTCATAAAAATTCTTACAAATAAAGATAAATTGCCGGGTCCAGCAAATGCTCTACCAAACCCCTATCTTTACTCCTTAAAACATATTCACTGCTGTAAAGGAGAAACTTCAGACGAACTGTACTACAGTTTATTCTATAAGTGGTGTAAATCTACTAAATCATATGTGGATTCTGCAAAACTCCAAAGAACCTTAGAAAATTTAAAATCATCAAAGTTTTTAAAAGTCAATAATGTCAAAAAGTACATATATACACATATGTGTATACACACGACATTTATACACATTATACAACCATTCCTCAGGATAAATTAAAATTAAGCTTTTTGATATCAAAGACAACTGCTTCTTCAATAAAAATGGAACTCGGAAGTTTTCATATTTTGTGTTTGATCATTAACAAAATAATTTTGTTAAAATCCACTCTGGTTCTATACACAAATACTCTGAAGTTGATATTAAAAGGATGCTGGCGTTCCTCATTGCCAACATTTATGTAGTCTTTGGAGACTATGTCTTCCAATTTCCCCAAAACTGTTGGAATACAGATGGGAACTATTTGTGGTCCTTTATTAGTCGACATGTTTTTGTACTCCAATGAAGCAGAATTTATTCAAAAACTTCTATATGAGAAGAAGAAAACACTCGCTGTGGCCTTCAGCTCCACATTCAGATATATTGACGGCGTTTATTAATTGAAAATAGTCAATTCAATTCATATGCCGACTTGATATATCCCAGTGAACTTGTAATAAAAGACACCACAGAGTCTGCCACATCTCTTTCATATTTGGATGTCTTACTGACTAAAGACAATAAGGGCGAACTTTACAACTAAATTGAATGAAAATTGCAATTAAACGAAATCACTTCACCTCTTCAGTCGCCAACTTTCCTTATTTATGTAGTAATATTCCGCTATCGAGTATATATGGTGTTTGCGTCTCCTAACTTATTTGATACTCAAGAGCATGCTCTGAGTACGATCAAGTTTTAAAGCAATGCAGGCTACTGACAGATAAGTTGATGTTACAGGGATTTCAACAACATCATTTAAAATCAGCATTTGTAAATTCTACGGTCGTTATATATGATGGCCTTGTTAGCAAATATTACCTATCATTGAGCCATATTTTGGCTGACGTGTTGCATACCAACTTGTAAGGCTTTGTTTTTATACTAAATTTGACTATGGAATGTTCCATCTACCTGGTCCATACATAGGGCCTACGGCGGGTGTGTCCGGTCAACAGGGGATGCTTACTCCTCTTAGGCACCTGATCTCACCTGTGGAAATTTCGAGGGTCCGTGTTCTGTGCCCTTTTCACAAATTTGTATTGTTTATAGATCTCTTTGAGATCGATCAATGTTCGTTATCTTTAGCTTTTTCATTACGTAATCATAAATCCAACATAGACCAAAAGTTAGATCTACACTAATATGAAATATCTCCGAAAACTTTTGACAAATGTATTTTAATGTCAATATTTTAATGCCCCCCCCCCCCCCATTCCTACCGTAGAATATATATGTTATAATTTCAAAACTATTGACAGTTGCATAAAATGCTCAATTTTAATTAAACAACAAATCGAGATCAGACTAAACATAAATTCCCGACAAAATCAGAGATGGGATTAGGTGCCGTGAAAGGGTAACTTTCCGCTGTCAAACTCGCCATGAGCCCTTTCTCTTGATCGAGTTAAACATCCAGATATGAGATATGTCACACTCTGTGGTGTGTTTTTTTTTCGAATTAGTGTGATATATCGAATCAACCTGTTAATCAGAATAAATATTGTTTATTGATTGAACATCGTCATTATACCTAAATGTCGAAATAAAGGCCACGAAAAGAGACTTTTCATGTAGCAGTTTTTAAAAAAAAAAAATTAATTCTGCTTCATATGAGTGCAAAAATAGGTCAGCTAATAAAGGAGCACAATTATTACCCAAATTGTTAGAAGACCTGATTTCCAAAGACTGCATAAATAGTAATCGTCAATAAAGAACCCAAGCATCTGTTTAATCAACTTCAAATTACTTTTGTGTAGAATTAGAATGAGTTTAAACAAAGGAAGTTTGTAGATGATGAATCGTAAGATCACAATTGCTAGATATGACATTTTCCGAGTTCTATTTTTATTGAGGAAACTGCTGTCTGTCTTTAAGCCTGGTCTTTAATCTATTGTATAAAAATGGTTGTATGAAGTGTTTACAAGGTTGTATTTTTATGCTATTGATTTTCAACTGACAAAAGTTTGAGCTAAGCTTTTCAATCTAAATTTAATATCGTAGTTTAATTTAGTTTTAAATTAGTTTTTTCTTTATTTATTCATTATTTTATAGATTAAAATGTTTGCTCTTAAGACATACATCAGTATAATGTTTTACAGCTCAGTTTGAAGCTATGGTAACACCAAGGACCTCGAAGGAAAGAGAGAAACATATCAAACTTCCTGCCTGTCGTCCAAAGTCCGGTAAGGTCTATGTATATACGCCAGTGATGTGGGAAATTGTAAGCGGAATAATAAAAAGGAAATAAACAGCTTATCATCAGATTATGAACAGAAATACGCAAAATACAAATATGATGAGTTTGCGAAACACTTTGATAATGCCCTATTAAACGTGCAAATCTAGTAATTATTGGTTTATACATGTAAACCCATATTTATATATATGACAGACATACAGAATGATTTATCGATATGTAATACCCACAGGTTTATTAAGCAGCAGAGATAACGGTAAGAACCACCCCAATCCAATAGAACAAATAGACTGTGAGGAGGAGGTGATCATTCTACCAGAGTGTCCAAACAGCCGTCCTGGTACAGGTATACGCCCTTTTTTGTATACATTTTCTGTACACATACATCATATACAACTGTTTTTTTTTAACCAAATGCTTTTTGTAATTAAATATTCTAACCTTATTGGATAGAATGAATTTTAAAAAATCAGATTTCAACCAACCTATTTGAGAGTACTGCCATATACGTGTACCTCAAGGTAACTATTCTGAAATGATTATTTAAAAAATTGCTTTTCAGCTAGTCGACCTCTATGTGCTCAAGACATAGGTATCTCTTATTGTTAAAATTATTTTTTTCTGTGACCCATCGCCTGTTCCAGCGACAAATGGTTGGACCCGGATGTTTATGTCAACAACCCAGAGAGATGAATTTGAGGTACCTAATCTTGAGGACCTGCGATTGGAGATACCAGGTATTGATTCTTGAGTATTGAGTGTTTTTTAATTGAAAACTCGAAAGTGTTCGGCCAAGGAAATTGACGATATTACATATAAATATAATTATGATTTCAACTTTTTTTTCCAACGAAAAATTCTTATAAGATAGTCAAGTCATAATATACTTCATATCTTCACAAATTTCCTCTTACAAATAAAAATAGAGGTGCGTTATTATATTATATTTTCATCACTTTCTCTCGATTATAATGATAAAGTATCCAGTGAAACTTTTACAAGATGGTCAAAAAAGTGTTTGCCTATCGAAGTTAAGTAATATGTGCATTACGTAACAGGACGCAATTTTTTTTTTTTTTTTTTTTTTTTTTTTTGGTTATTTAACGTCCCTTTCGAGAATTTTTCACTCAAGTGGAGACGCCACCACTTGCCGGTGGAGAGCTGCAAATTTTGACCTATACTCGACACTTAGGGCCGTTGAGCAGTGACGGATCTTTTTCGTGCCAGCATCTACTGCGACACGGGACCTCGGTTTATACGGTCTCATCCAAAGGACCGGTCTCCACGTCCTACACTGGGATTCGAACCCGCGACTTAAGGATCAACTCCTTACTCCGCGACTCTAGAGCAGACGCTCTAACCACTGCGCCACGCGGGCGACTGAACGTTAAGGTAACAGAGATACTAAAAGCAGTGCATGTATAGAACTGATCTTAACTTCTGCCAATTAATATTTTTGTGTAGATGACGTCAGCAGAGCATGGGAGGACATAGCCGAAGAGAATGAAGAAATAAGAATCATTTTGATAGGAAAGAGAAATTCTGGCAAAACAGCCACAGCCAACACTATCCTTGGAAACTCTGGGTTTGATGATTCCTTGAATTCACATATTAAGAAATGTCGTTACGGAACTTGTGAGCGCTTTGATAGACGATTGGTTGTTGTTGATACACCAGATATTTGTAACCGGGATAATGAAGAGGAACTTTTGAATGCTGTTGCTCTCTCATCCCCGGGTCCTCACGTGTTCGTTTTTGTGGTGGGGATTGGAATCATTAATAATGACGATGAACAAACATACTTCAAAATGATTCAAACATTTGGCAGTGAAGTTCCCCATCATCTGATTATTTTATTTACAAGGAAGGATGATTTGATATACGAAGGGGTTACCATATTTGGATACGTCAATGAGGTTCCAGAAAAAATTCAAGAAGCATTGACAGCTTGTAATCGAAGATATATTGCTTTTGATAACAACTGTACGGGAAGAGAGTCTGAGGTCCAAGTGCGAAAACTCTTAGACATGATTGATAACATTTTGCTTTTAAATCGAAATCATTTCTCCAACCAATTTTTTGTTCAAGTAGAAAAACAGCTAGAGAAAAGATCCCAAGCCATACGGGATAAGTTTGAAGACAAGTATAGAGAAAATGTGAGAAACTTGGAGAACGATTTTGCAAAGACAAATGCAAATAATGTAATCGACAAAGACGTGGATGAGCAGAGTTTACTTACATTTCACCAGACAGACTCGGTTTATTTTGCTGATAATAGAATGTCATTGAGTAGCATGGAAACTACTAAATTACCACAGAAACGACCCAATTCTTCAAAGAATCGAAACTGCCAGCAAGTGAAAAGAAAGTACAAACCTTCATTATACCGCAAGAAAACTGCTCGAACACCCTCACTCTCTCCAATTGAGTCCATTGATTGTGATTCAGAGAGTGAACTTATAGATTGTGGAAAACTTAATATTCCAATTTCCCAGTATGAAATCAAACTAAACGAACTTAAGGAAGATTTTGAAAAAGAAACAGAAAGACTCCAACTACGAGAGAAAATTCGAATGGAAGTAGAACATGATGTAGATGAAGTTAACAAGCTTCTTCGGAAAATAAACTTCAAGTCATAAATCTAATTTAATAAAACAAAATCATACGATAATTATGTTGTGTGTTTAAGTTATTCAGGATATACACGTAAAAAATATTTTCTAAACGTCGCAAGTAAAATGTATTTTACTGCACATGTAATTCTACTCTAGGAATCAACCTATTAATTTTAATGTTGGGGGGAAACAGTCTAATAATTTTGATATAAGACCAGACATATCAATATCGGTCCAAAATTAAAATTATTAGATTTTTGACATCACAATTTATAAGAACTTATTTATTTTTGGCGTGACGAAAGTACTCGAATTCGGAGAGAAGACAAAAGTTCCCAATAAGAATGTATATATTAGTTAAGAAAGCGTTCCGATTTGTCAACCATCACGTTGACAAATGGATGTGGTACAATACATTTAGTGACTGAGATTCAATATTTAATTATTTAATTAGCAAGGGACCAAATCGAAATGGCGATAGAAAAGATCCTGAGGGATATACTCGTAAGTCGGTTTGTGAAATCTTAAGTATTCCTTGGTAAACTCTTCCCGAGTACCACCGTGAGGTTTGTTGCCGGGCAAAGCAAGGGACCAAATCGAATGGCGAGTGGAAAAGTTTAACAACATACTTAGTACATGTTTCACACGAGAAATTAAACTCTTTGTGTTTGTATCTATTTCATCACAACTCTAGTGTTTTTCTTGTTATTTTAATCAAGATAGTGATGATAAAATAGTGACTGGTGCAATTTTGTACATGCCCAGAAAGGAATCTTTTCAAGAATAGCAAGACTAATCATATTTATGAAACAAACCATTCCCAAGTGGAATCATTTTTTTGTTTAAATTACGAGGGCTAGGGTTAATGGGCCGAAAGGACAAAAATTTTCTCTAGAACAGCAGGGCCATGTTCATCGTGTTGACATTAAAATTAACATTCCAATGTTGTATAGACTCAACTTTGATTAAATCATCGTTCCTTTAGGGATAAATTTCGATCTACAATATGGTGTCAAAATTCTAATGAAATTAAAGTGGAAAATTAAAAAAAAATCTGCTGATGAAGAACAGCAGGGCCGAAATTGACTTAAGTGAGCGTTTTGGTCCTTGGGCCTCTTGTTTATTTATTGCGAATCATATTGATAAAATGTAATATTTTAACTGGATCAATTTCAATGTAAAATTGATCCAGTTTGAATATTACATTTTATCAATATGATTCGCAATAAATAAACAAGAGGCCCAAGGACCAAAACGCTCACTTAAGTCAATTTCGGCCCTGATTTGAATTTTGAATTTGAATACAGAAATGAATTCTTTGGAATAAATCTGCCATTAATTTGTATCACAAGCAACACATTTAGTAATTGTGTACATGTAATCAGATTTAAGGAGGTTGGATCCTGCCATCAAAAGTAATGAGAATTTTTTATCAAGTATATTTTTAGAATTTATACACATAGCTTAATTAAAAATCAAAACAAAAAATGAGGGTTAATGCGCTTCTTTTGGCGCTATAGAGCATTTAGTTTGACCTATTTGCACTGTAAATACGTCTTACACATAAATCAATTTTTAAAGTTTTTCCTCCAATATTTTTTATTCAAATAAATTATGGGAACAAACACAGCCTTATTTCATCTTGAATAGACACATTAAAATTTGTGACAACAAAAAAAATTTCAAATTACTCCGCATGTTCAATTATTTGACCTTTTTGCACTCAAAAAATTTCATTTTTCTGGCATTAAAATTTAACTAGCAAAAAAATCATTTGAAAGTAATGACATTTTACTGAATTTAAGAAGAATGGTTAAAAGTATCTTATATATTCAGAAAATAAAATAAAAAGTGGGGGTCCGTGATGTTAATTTTTAGATATTACTAAAATAGTGCTAATTTTAAGCTTAGAATAGGGATTTTTTTTCTTGATTTTCACAATATATTTGCTATATTTATGAAATATGATGATAGAATTCATGACAGTTTATTTGATATATAATTTAGGACCAGTATAAAACAGTTCACTGCACAAAATAACTCTGTGTGCAGGCTGCATGGAAAAATAGGAATCCAAACTTAACATACTTTAAATACTTCTAAAGAGAAAAAATGATCATTTTCTTCTAAAAAAAACCTTCCGCCACAAAATATAGTTCCTCACTTAATGCTTTTGGTATGGAATTTAATCATGGAGTTTTAACTGAATATAGTTTAATTGACATTGTAGAATCCAAATTTATTGTAAGAATTAAAACTTTATGCAGAATTTTTGAGATATAGGTTAAGATATAAATCTGCTCCAAAGCTCAGGAGCGAACCTCGTTAAAAAGAATACAATATACTTGTATAAAATGTGACAAAATGTTGTCACTTTTGAAAGTGCATAATTACTACCTAGCAAAAATGATCTAAAATTGAATCGGTTAGGGATATTCCATTGAAGTGCTTTGTCTAGGCAACCCAAGTCTCTGTATATTGTTACACGAGGTTGAAGCTTACGACCTTTGTCACAAGTATATACATGTGGGGTTAGGTGATAGACATGTGAAATTAATTTGCGTTAATTTGGCGTCTAATATGTAAATCTGCAGTGGATTACATGTCACAAAAGATCGACACATTTAATAAAGCAAAGGTTGTTTCATTAAAAAAGTGATACTTTCTTTTGACTGCTCAGCAATTAACATAGCTCACTCGAGTGGGTTAGTTCAGTCCATTAGATCAAACATAGGAAATAAGAAACGAAGATAATTTTATTTTGATTTTTCCTTGGATTAGCAGCAGCTAGTAACTATAGAGCTATACAATGAAACAAAATCTGTCCTCTTCGAATGAGAATCTAAATGTGCAATCAAGCATGTACAGACAGAATCTTTTAGAAGTACCGTCACTGCCTGAAGAAGACCGTTTTCTCCGTACATTTCGTCCACCAGAAACTCATACAGGCAAACAGACAACAGAAGAAAGTGCGCGGGAAAAGTGGAATGGAAAGATAGAGTTCGTTTTGTCTTGTGTTGGACAATGTATAGGGCTGGGAAACGTGGTCAGATTTCCTTACCTTTGTTACAAGAATGGTGGAGGTAGGATATCGTATTACTTTAAGCAAAAAATGTAAACTCTTTTCAAAATTAAATAATTTCAAAATATTTTATCCTTCTTCCTCAGGTAACATGTTTTTTCCAAGTACAAAGTTCCTATCTCCTAGCTTATTTTGTTCTTTTAATTTTAGAAAAGCATGGTATGTAGGCTTTTTTCTTACATTCCCTTCATATAATAATATTTTTGCTTGCATCATTAATATATGCTCTTTTTTTTTTTTATTTCGCCCTTAATCTATTAGTATATCTTTTAACAATTCTCTTTTGTATTTTTCATGAAAAATGGTAGAAGCTTCTCTATAATTATGATATACTTTTCAACTCAGATATTAAATATAAAATTATGTGAAAATTTTGTCCGATTTTCATCTGCAGATATGGGCAATAGAACCAGACTCTGGGATAAACTTAGAGGAAATTGTAAGATGCATAAATTGAAGACCGAAGAATTTCTACTTATATATTATATTATACTTATATAAGTTTTAGCTTATTTAGCAGAGTACATTTTTTAACCCCTGGATTAATCTAAGGAATATACTGTAAAATATTATAAATATTTGTATATATGCTTATCTTTATACAATTATGTTGTTTACGAACGTAAAGCTTCCAAGTAAGGAATATAAATAGTAAAAAGGCTGTTTTAGAAATGACTAGACTGAAGCTAGCAGCCAATAACAGCAGCCATTAAGCCCGTAGAAGCTAGCAGCCACTAAGGAAATTCATCAAAGGACTGAGAGTACTCTGACGCAATACTGTTTAATGCCTCATTTTCGACAATTTATAATTAATAATTAGATAATTAATGCAACACTTAATTATTAATTAATAATTCAAACACTTGGAGGCAGTTAAGCTCACCTGCATAAGGAAAATTATGCGGTTTCACAACAAACAAACAAACAAACAAAAAGAAGAAAATGTCACCATCTTTGACCGCTTAAGAATAAAACAGCATTGGATAGGTTAAGTACTTCCGAGAGAATCCCTTTTAGGCTCTTTTACCGGTCTCAGGAACATGATGGTGCCAAAAGGCTAACCTGAAATTTGCTTACTCCTAATATTTACATTGATAAGGGTTTGAAGGTAATTTAATCTATTTTAAGTTATGATCCTTGAAGTGTGCTTCGAACAATTACTGGCTCAAGGTAAAAGGGTCCACAGGGCTCTTATATACGGCCATAAAATTTAGGCTGAAGTGGTACCACCAAGTGGTGCCAAGGGCGGGTTACATATTTCAAGCAGCTATTATACCTCTTATCTTATAAGTGTGCTTTAAATCATTACTGTGCAAGATAGAAGATTTCTAGGACTATCTCTCCCGCAATCGGTTTGAGGCTGTAACTAACGGCACCACCAAGTGGTGCCAACGGTGGGGAACATCTTTCATGCTTTCATTTTTCAACCATCATTGACCACTAGAACAAACTAACACTAAACTGGAAAAAAGTTAAGGGCCTTAGGGAGTATCCTTTGTCAACTTTTTGACAGGTTCCAATGACTAGAAAAGGCTAGTTAGGTAACCTGAACTTTGTTGTTTTTCACATTGTCTATTGATAAACAGATTAAAAGTCAGATGTTATACTCCTTATCTTTGAAGTGTGCTTCAAATCATTACTGGGGCAAGGTAGAGGGCCCCTAGGACTATCATTTCCCGCTATCAGAATGTTGCGGTATTGGTACCACCAAGTGGTGCCATGGGTGGGGCACGTATTTCAAGCATTCATTTTGAAAGCATCTTTGACTACTAGAACAAAGTAACACTAGTGAAAGGTTAAGGACCTTAGGGAGAACCACTTGCCAGGTTTTGGAAGTGTCCCTAGGAAAGGAAGGGGCCAGTAAGCTAACCTGAAATTTGTTGTTTTTTCACTTTGTGTTTTAATATACGGGTTAAAGGTCAGCTATTATACCTCTTATCTT